GTTGCTTTTACAAGTGCCTTATTGGTTGCAAGTACTTTTGTTAATATAATAATTAATATGTATATATCTTTTGGAGTGCATTTTGAAACGATAATTCTTAATTTGAAATACTTTATGTTTCGAGGTCGTGCGCGTCTATTTACATTGCATTCTTTTTTTCATGTTACCGTGTTTCTGTTGAGAGAAAACATTTTTATGAGCGATATCAATTTTTATTTCTTTTAAAAATCCATTCCTGCCAAACCAATTATAACCAAGAGCACGTAGAGAATACTAATGGATGTCACGTTTTTAATTTAAAGTATAATATCTATTTTGTGCTTGTGTAAGATATGTGAAGTAATAAAGAGCATTACGTTGAGTGAAATATAGTTAGAGTTACAAAAGATACATATGGGATATAGCATAAGAGCAAAAATAATTTGTTGTTGGAATTGTCATACTGTTTGTCGCTTTTTTGTGTATATGAAAACTGCCTTAACAAATCCTCGCATGGGCAAGGATGGGGCTATCTTGGACTGGTACTATTGCAACTAATAAGTCGCTTTGTTTCACTTTTTTCGAAGAATGCTCAGCCACACATATCCAATTGCATATTGTCGCCTCTTTTGGCACCCAAGGAACAAGATGTGTTGAACTGTCTCACGTAAACAAATTTCTAAATGAAAAACATTGACATACTGTTATATATGATATCGCACTTCCGATAAAATAGTGTTACAACTCGAAAAAGTCGAATTTTGAGTTAAATATACAGAAATACTTATAGTTTTTTGTACTATCTTCTCCAAAATGGTTACATCTGTAACTCTAAAACTCGCCGCTAGATGAAGTTGTAACGGTACATGATTATAGCATTTTGACTCGAGAACGATCTCTATTAGTGTTGCATTTAGTGTTACCTCCCCCTCTATATAAAATAAATATATAAAATAGTAAATATATTATCTTCCCCTTTATATTAAAAATTATATATTTGTGACCAAGATATATAAGATATGTTTTGATCTTTCTAAAGGTTTAATAATAGGCCGTTTGTAATATTTTGGCGTGATCGTCTTAGTTAGGACCCTTATTTACGTTGTGTTTGTTTAGTAACTTAGTTCTTTTAGGTGTCTTTTGGAAGAATGAATATTCACTAGAGCAATTGAAAGCTGTTGGTAGTGCCTTATAAGCTAAGTGAACCCCATTCACGAAAACAGGGCTCGAGAAAGGTTAAGAACATAAAACGTCCTTATTCCACTTGCATCAGGTTTACATTATTAATTTGTTATTATTTATCCCTTCCCGCTTGGAAAAGGCTCATAATATATTTATACAAAATACCCGATACAACGGCTTCGCTCTCCAATATTTAATTAAAAAAATGAAGGGGAGGCACACGGTCCAACACACGCCGTGCACGGTGAGTGCCAACCATTTTGATGCACTCCCCCCGAAGGGAACGCTAATTCGGGAACTGGACCGTAGTCCACAGCAAAATAACTGGCGAACCAATAAAAGAGGCTTGGCCCATTGTTAGTGCGTAAGCACAAACATCGACCGAAGTCGAGCATGTCAATGCGTGTAAACGCCATACAGAATACGAACGAATCCAGCCACAGTGAATGTACGTCACACGGTTTAGGCAAATAGACGCACTGGCCGTAAACCCTCCGTGAGCGCCACCACCTGTCAGACCGCCGCTCCTGCAGACGTGATGTAAGTGTATGGCATCACCACCAATTGCATGATCAGCACGGCTACTAGCCGCAGAGCGTGTCATGAGTCTACAGTTCACCTCAAGGGAATGGGGTCCCACGTTGTTCGGCTTTCGGCCGCAGCCTTGAGAGTCTCCTCAGATCCTCCCGCCAGCTACCACCCGTATGAGGTCGACACATATGCTCCACCAACCAATACAACGGCAGATATAGCCAAAAGTTATAAGATAAGAGTAATAATTCGCCATCAGAAAGGGTTTGTGTCACTGACGTTGATTAAATGCATTTTCGATCATGTTTGTCTCACCCACCAACAAGTTGCCTTCAATCATTCAAAGGTGGGAAAGTTACAGAGATATATTATTATGTTTTTATATAAAAGATCATGGAGGGCATACAGTCTGCAGCTCCGTAATGAAGGAACACTTTGGCAAAGCTAATTAGGTGTGAGTCAAACCAAGACGCAGAGAGCGCCATTGAGAATAGCGTCCCACCAAACAACCTTCGCAGAGACGCAATGCTGCAGCACGCAACAAGCATCAATACGACTATCGTCGGGCTTACACCATCCCAAGGTCCCCCATACAACCCAGCAGACATAACCACCCGTATACCTCCATCGACCAGAACCAAAAGAGAGCGTGGAATCAGGCGCAGCACACCCGCAGATCCATCACAAGACGCAATACCGCAAGTAGCAGTAAGCATCAATGCAACTATCATACGGATGGCGTCCCCTCACAACACACCCACATGATCCCTATCGACTTTGGTAACAAAGTTTTTATAGTTGTTAACTAAAAAATATCACCAACTTATCATAATAGCACGCTACTAAGACGCCAGTGGACATAACTCCACGTATCATAGCGCTAATGCACTAAGACATGAGGTTGAGTATGCCTGTTACACTTAATAGTGCTACCAAACACACTCATCATTCCAATCCGAAAGATAGACGACGCATCGCTATGCGCTACGACGTCGCCCACAAACGGTATGGGTGTACAATGTCCACGGGAAAGCCGTATTGCTACAACAAACCCGCTTACCACCGGCACTAAGATGTTAATTGTATACCTCCATCGTCAAGAACCACAAGAATGCGTCGAATCAGGTGCAGCACACCCGCAGATTCATCACAAAACGCAACACCGCAAGTAGCAGTAAGCATCAATGCAACTATCATACGGATGGCGCCCCCTCCCAACCCACCCACATGATCCCTATCGACTTTGGTAACAAAGTTTTTATAGTTGTTAACTAAAAAATATCAACAACGTATCATAGTAGCACGCTACTAAGACGCCAGTGGACATAACTCCACGTATCATAGCGTTAATGCACTATGACGTGAAGTTGAGTATGCCTGTTACACTTAAAAGTGCTACCAAACACACTCATCATCCCAATCCGAAAGATAGACGACGCATCGCTATGCGCTACGTCGTCGCCCACAAACGGTATGGGTGTTCGATGTCCACGGGAAAGCCGTATTGCTACAACAAACACGCTTACCAGCAGCACTAAGATGATATGTCTAGGACACATCGGTTAGCGAGTCCAAGTTTACCTCGGACCAATTGCTCGTGAAGCAGCATACACGCCACCATAATATTCCTTTTCAAGTCCCTAATAAGGACTAGTCATTTTGCTACAGTACTAGGAGCAGTCGGTCACCCGAGCATCAAGGAGACCTTCTATAATAATGCTCTTGTATCATAGACCTTACTTTCATAAGTCATTAATATATAGAACTTCAACCCACGATTCTACTATTGTAATGCAAATTCATCATAGAGACCTTCTATAGTATTGCTTTTGTGTCATAGATCTTACTTTCATAAGTCATTCATATATAGGACTTCAACCCACGACCCCACTATTGTAATGCAAATTCATCATGGAGACCTTCTATAGGCTCGTTCTATAGGCTTTTGTATCATTGAGTTTATTATCATAAGTCCATAATATAGGACTAGTCATAGTGCTACAGTATTTTAAGCAGTCGTACTCCCGACCACCCCATATATATGTACAACTGCAGGTATGTATCTCCGGCAGCTCCTCCATACAAGACGTCTATACATGAACACCTTCCACAACTTAGGAAAATTTTCTTTTATACATGAACTCCTTCCACAACTTAGGAAATTTTCTTTTATAAATGAACTCTTCCACAACTTAGGAAATTTTCTTTTATACATGAACTCCTTCCATAACTTAGACAATTTTTAACAAATTTTCTTATTATGTTATAAATGTTATTTATCTTTATTTTTTATAATATTTTCGACTTGCATTTCTATTATTTATTTTTAAAGCTTTTTAATAAATTTATTTATTATGTAAGACAGTATTTTGCCTTTAATTTACTATGTTATTGTTCTAATGTTTGAAATATATTAATATTAACTTTATCTTTATTAATGTAATTTTATTGCTTAATATATATATTTTAAGACTATTTTTGATGCCCCTTTATATTGAATTTAATTATTAATAATAACATTGGGCCGTCACAATATCAAAATACAACAGTGTTCTAGACGGGTAAAAGTCGAATTATTACAGTTTATTGTTCAAGAATTGAATCAAACTAGCTCAATATTTCTATTATAAAGTGATATATTTTGTATTGTATCAGTATTATGGATGCGATTTATTGTAATATTGTTTTACTTTTCACGTTGTAACAGTATTTGACGAAAAATTTATATTTTTTGTCTGAATATTTCGATTTGTAACCTTGTTTTATAACAAAGTTTAGGTATTTACGAAATATTTGCTGTGAATCTGATTTATGATTCTAGGGCCAAAATGAAACGTAATGACATGATTCTGCGTTTAGCTCTAAAGGATAAAAGAAATATACCCGCCGATTATTATCAAAAGATTGGGGGAACAAACTTGCAGGGTACGATGCCTACTATACTTACCTACTTACCTTACCTACCTGTTTTTACCAGGTTATTTTTGTCATTTTAAAAGTTAGTAGCATACTTTATTTTGTATAACAAACTAATTGAAGCGCTTAACTTTATGTAAACAAGTGAATTTCATCACCGGTTCGTGTTAATATTTTTTTCAGAGTGAAGAGAAAAATCGGATTTTGATATTATTGACAATCTATCAGAAACCGGTAAATTGACTTCGATATACCACAATGTAACCTCGCAAGAGCTAATCAAGATTTCATAGCTGTTCCCGAAGCTGAGAGTGAAAAAAGTTTTTTTTATCGTGCAATCGGAGCAATGATGGCTTTAATTTTGATGTCTGAAACGAAGTGCTAATTTAAAAATGTGTTTTATAGAAAATAAGACAAGAATTAATTCCAGCAAGAACACTACGGAATTTGAAACATTGTTATCTCCAAGTGACCATTTCAAAAGCTATCCCATCGAGAAAGTTAATTTCGATTTGCCAAATGATCTTCAGACCCAATGTGAAAAATATGGTAGTATTTTATTGTGAAATTGATATAAAAGTTGCCTTTGTTTAGTAGTCATAATTGTTGATTCGATTTTGCATTTACAGATATAACAATAAGTAATTCTGCCACTTACAATACTGAAGTGATAATATCTAAAAGTTCAAGACCAGAGTTCCAAGCAAATCGAGAAGCCTATTGATGACTCGTCAACAGATTCTTCTTCAGATACAGAAAATACATGCTCTTCAGACACTTCTAATTCAACTTCAAATGAGGATAGTGATGATTTAGTGAAAGATCCAGATTTTCAAATTGAGAAACGTCGTTCCATTAAAATCTCTGACGATTTCGAAACTGAAGACAACGTTGATTGTTGTTGTTGGTGACTAACTTTGAAGCTACACCTGCAGCTACATCTTCAGTATCAACATTGTACTCAAGCTGTCATCTAACATGATACCAGACATGAACAACGAAGCAGAAAACGTGTAGCTAAACCAACTGAATGGTTACAAAATAAATTTAAAATCCTCAAAAATGCTGGGTCTGCTTACGTAACACTAAAAACAAAGGTGAAGAAGGGTGCTAGAAAAATTAAACCACCGTGTAGCGAACGCTGTCGGTTAAAGTGCCAAGAAAAATTTTCAGAAGTAGATGGAGAAGCTGTTTTTAAAAAGTTCTGGGAACTTAAAGATAAAAAAGATTTTATCAACAGGCGTAATATGGCGCCAATAAAGCGAAAATAAAGATACACGACTACTCAAAAAGGGAGATAATTAAATCATGCATTTTACTTGATCAAAATGGGATGTCAAATCCAAATCTGCAAGACATTCTTCATGGATACAATAGACATCAATAATAGAGTAATACAGACTGTAATCAAGAAGAGGACATCTGCTGGTTCCGTTGAAGAGGACAAAAGAGGCAAACATCACAGTCATCACAAATTGCCTGATTGTGTTAAGGAATCTATTCGAAACCATATTAATTCAATCCCCCGCATTAAGAGCCATTATTTGCGTTTATTTAGGGTGGAAAATCAATAGCTGATCTTCACCGTGAGTACGTAGAAGAATGTGGGCTTAATAATAGACCTCACAGCAATTATGTAATGTATGCAAACATTTTTAACACAGATTTCAATTTAGGTTTTTTGAGCCAAAAAAGGATCGATGTGTGTTGCTTATGAAATCGCAGAGGAAAAACAACATCTTCAACATATATATGATCAACACCTTTTGGAAAAGCAATTGTCACGACAGGAAAAACAGTGCGACAAAGATAACGCTTCGGAAACAAATATAATAGTAGTTTATGATCTTCAAGCTGTTCTACCAGTTCCAAAAGGTGACGTATCTATTTTTTACTACAAAAGTAAATTGAACTGTTTTAACTTTACGGTGTCTAACCCTGCAACTAAAACAACTGAATGTTACTTCTGGCATGAGGGCATAGGTAATCGTGGTTCTGATGAAATTGGTAGTTGTATTCTCCAGTTTACAGAAAAAAGATTGTCTCAAATTAATGATGGTGCTGCTATTGACATAACCTTTTATTCAAATAACTGCGGAAGACAAAATAAAAACAAGTTAATAATGGCTCTATACGCCTATTGGGTACTCAAATACGATAGACTGAAATCTATTACACACAAATTTTTAGTGACTGGAGATACTCAAAATGAAGGCGATTCAGTGCATTCGGTAATTAAGAAATGCATTAAAAGGAGTTTGAAATATGGCCCAATTTAAGTGCCTTCTCAATATGCATAAATTATAAGAACAGCCAAAAAACTGCAACCCCATATTCGGTGAATGAGCTTTCATTTAATGACTTTATATCCCTGAAGAAGTTACATGCAGAACTACGTTTCGGTACGGGTAACATTAAGTTGAAAGACGTCAGGGTCGTTAAATTCATGAAAAAAACACCTTGTTTTCTTTATTACAAGAACTCTTATAAAGACGAAGGATTTTCGGAAGCTAAATTTTGGCGAACACACCCTGAGGTTCTGCCTGGACTAAAACCTGCTTACATCAGACAGCTCTCAATAAGCGAGAGGAAGAAAGCTGATTTGATGAATTTGATTAATAGTAATCATATAGTATACAGTAACAGTTTTATGCGCCTTTTTTACAACCAATTGTAATTGAATAAATACCAGTAATTTTTTGATAATTATGCACCCTAATTAAAAGATGACGGAAACTTGGATTTTATCTGTGATTTTGATTTTATAGTGTGATTACAGTTCCTACTGAGTATTTAATCATTATTTCATTAAGAAGAACGTTAAACCAAATATAATTTAAGCGTAACTTAATTAAGTACTACCTGAACTTGTACTGTAAAGTGATTTGATAAAATTGTGATGCTTAGAATAGTTTACATTTTTGTTTTAGTTAAAATTTTTGAATATTTATGTTAGAGTTGATTTTGTTACTAAGTCTACAGCTATATAAATATGGTTTAGTTGAAAAAAGTTTAAATAACAGCCTAATTTTTATTATAATAAGAATTATTACATTTGTCATACTGTATTTTTTATAGTAAAGAATCAAATAGTTATCTAAAATACTGTTACAATTAGGAATTTTCAGGTATTTTTTCAGGAAATTTGAAAAATAGCTTATGTCATTTAAACGTATTTTTTGTAAGCTTTTCAATTATATTAATTTGTATCACTTTATACTAATACAAGAATAAAGAATGTATAACGAATCCATGAGTTTATTTTCGCTTTTCTAAACATCCAGGTTTTTCAATTTGTAACCCTATTTTATCGGAGGTGCGATATGATATGCTGCATATTTTCGCGAGTTGATTGTTTTACTAACTTTGAAAAAAGAACCAACCGTTCAACTGAGATATTTTATTCAAGTTACATAAATTATGGGACTCGTCGACTCTTATGTAAAATTATTTTATGTATTAATTTTAATATATTTTGTGTTTCAAGTGAAGACTAATTATTACATCAAATTAAAAAATGACAAGTAGAGCAAAATCTAAAGTATAATATGTACAAAAGGCGGTCTTAAAACTCCGAAAGTGATCTCTTCCAGAGAAACTTTGCGTAGAGAACTGATGCAAACAATAGTTTAAATAGAAGGAAGCGTACAAATAAAATATGAAAATACATAAAAATAATGATAATTGAAAATGTTAAATAGGATATGATATAAAAGATTGAATGGAAAGAGTACAAAAAGGGAAAAGTAGTTATTTAGAGTCCTCAGTAATACGCTTTAAAAAGACTTGGAAATATGAAACATTTAGCACGACGTATGTGGAGAGGTAAAAAGTTCCACAAACGCACAGTACAGTAACAGTAAAGGACTTCTTAAAAAAGGAGGAAGAGTGCAAAACATTAAAGAGAGAATGTCTGACAGAGGTTCGAAGAAACCGATTATGTGTAAAGGAAATACACTGGAAAAGGTCTTTTAGACAATTAGAAATGAAAAGATTAAGCAGCACGCTATACAAAGCAGAGAGAATGTGATCGGGAGCCATTTGAGCTGTTTGCGAAATTAAGAGCTGCTATCATGTTTGCGAAACCCAAATATAAACCTTATACATAAATTTTGAATGTGCTCAAACATATTAAACTGCTCCCCGGTAATGTCAGGATAGTAAATATCAGCATAGTCAAGGGTACGCAGAAGTAGAGATTGAGTGTGTTACGGCCCTGAGTTACCCCGACAAAGTTCCATTGAGCTAGGGCCCACAGTAGCCCAATTCGACGAGTAACAGAGGGGAGGGTCCAATGACCTATGGATAATTAAATTAGAACGGTTAGATAGACAAACACAAAATTTACCGAATTCCAGAAGTGTAGGGTCTACCACAAGGTGGCGTCAGGGGCAAGTAAATGGGAGTAGGTGTGTAGTGTAGGAAAGTGTATAGTGTAAACTGACGTCACCAATACAGTCAGATAGCAGCACCACGTGCGCCGACCGCTCCACAAGACGCTCACCGCTATAGGAACCCAAGTCCAGCGTCATTTAGCACGAATTATAATCGCACGTGATCTACACCGGGATCACAAAGTTCAGCGTTCTCAGCGACAAAGTAAAAGTGTTATCACGCTATTAACCTGTACGCTCTGACAGCGCGCGACACGTTATACTCCCGTTCGCTCAGGACCTCAAAATGGCGGCAAATGAAAAAATTTCCCTAACTTGCAAATTCTGCTATATTTTGTCTTTAAGACAATATTTTTGAATAAAACTTACAGGAATTCTTCTTGAATGTATAAATTATCGAATAAAATAATTTTTGGATGTTAGATATAGTAATAAAATTCATAAATTACCCTTCGAAATGCATAGTAGTAGTAAATACTCCACTTTTAGCCACGAAAATATTAATAAAATAATTTCCACAAGTTTGTTTTTTCAAGTAATCTATACGAAAATGTTTGGAAATAAATATATTTTTATGTTTTTATGTGTTTTTATTCGTAACCCATACAAAAAAAAAAACAAATAAATAGGAATCAAACATAACCCTTGTTTTCCGAAATTCAATTTTATTATATGAACTTTGAAACACTATTTCTCTAATATTTTTTGTGATTTTGAAATAAATACAACACCAAATTATTTGAAATATGTAATATAATTATTTTTTTTTTACATTATACAGTAAAAATAAATGAAAATGGAAAAATAACACATTTCTTACTCAACCACGAAAACGGAAGTTTTTCAACATACATTCACATATAACACACTCAAATATGTTTCGACACAAATGAAATATGTTTAGAAAAGTACATTTTTATTATTATTTACAATAACATATACAATTCAATGCACAAAATACAAAACACAAGAAATAAAATATATTTGAACAAATGTATGGAGCAAATAGTGATGTGGCGTCGCTGGTATATTTATGAATAATTTTTTGCAATGCAGCCGGCAATAATCAAATTCGGTTGTTTGACTTTTTGTAATGATTTTATATTAAATTTACAATAAATTTATTCTTTTACAATTTCTGAATGAATTTTTATAGAACCAGCATGGTGGCGATCACCGCATTCACCGGGGTTATTATAATAACCCTTTTTGTACAATTTTTCTTTTCAAATTAAACATTCTTTCAGTCCACATTCTTTCAGTCAACATTCATACCCATTCATATCCTTCTTGAACCCACTACTGAGGACGAGGAGGAGACCGGAGACCC